CTCAAGGTTAATTTAATTTGCAAAGAGAATCATTTACAAGTAACCTGTTTCTCCCATCCTTTCATCCTCCATAGCAACCATTTATTGCCCCTAAACAGAATTACCTATATTTCTCAGTTCCCCCTCACTCTAAAAGGAGTGTGTGAAAATATCTGGATCCCATTGGGATACTGGGTAATCACTCTGTGATTCTCCCCATGAGCATGGTAAGTAAACCTCTTCCTCTTATTAATCTGTTTTAATTGTGAGTTGATCTTTCAGTGAACCTTTGGGGGAAAGGGGAAGTTTCCTCTCGCCCCCACACCTTCAACTCACTGTGCCTCCAAACTGTTTTTTCTACTGGCTTAATGCACTAATGGCCAATATGAATGACAGACAATTTTCAATCAGTGATTAAAACACAGATTTGGCTACGTCTGAAGAACGTTTCACGCCCTGCCTCTAGGAAATGGCAGAAAACAAGGGGGCTTGAGGGCTGAAGGGAAGAGTGGCCACTCTGATTTACACTTGGCCCATGCAGATAGATGGGACAATTATTTCTTTTATGCGCGTTTTAAGCTAATTCAGAAAATTTCTACTATTATTCAAGTTAACAAGCTTCAGGCTCCTGGGAGGGTTTTCAAAGACCTGGTGAAAGTAGCTGAGAGTTAAGAAATGATAGGGCGAAAATAGAGGGTACTATACAGATGGCTAATTAACATCTCGTAAGACCTTTCACTAAAGCAGCTGCTCTAGTCACATGCTTAAAAGATTTTCGCAGAATTTTTAGAATTGAAAGGGTTTTTAGAGAGCATCTAGCTCAACCCCCTCATTTTATGGATGGGAAAACTGAGACCCAGTTAATTGCCCCAGGTCACAGTGGGTTCACTGAAGAACCACGATGGCAATTCAGTGTGTTTTGCTTCCCATTCAAGGTTACTAAATTTGCTCCTAAAAATCACAAATTAAAGGAGTCTTCCCAATAGACTAGCATCAGGCAACATCTCTATTTCCTTAAGATTTCTTTAAACATGCAAAATATCTAACACACAGTTTGCTAAAACAAGTTGTTTAGCAATAATATTACTTCATAGCTGTTATATCGTTTTTACTATGTAATTCAGAAATATATTTGACATGGCATCTCTAATCACCTTAACCCATCTGGGTTCTTAACTGTGCTTCTTTTAAAAACAACTAGTCTCTCACAAAATGCCAGATATTTGGTGGTGGGTCTTTATGCCATGGTCCCAAAACATGGATTATGCCCCACTTCTACTATTTCTATTCCCTTTGCCAAACAATTTTTCCCAACCCCTCTGAACTGAGAATGTGATTAGCATATTCATGAGACAACTGATTCAGCTATGTTAATTAGCAGTTCTACTACCAAAAACAATTCCCAGAACTGGCCAAGAGGGGGAGCAGCTAGCTCTGTCACTATCATGCTCTGGCTCTATGTCTCTAGCCCAGGATGGTAGATTTCTGGTACTGAACATCCTAAGATAAACAGTGGATTTAAAAAATTACAGTATAGAAAAATACAGAGGTGAGTCCTTAAACTCAGAGGTACACATTTAAAATATGGGGAACCTGAGAAATTTGTTGGGATCGGGGGGGGGGGGGGTCTGTGTTTTCAGACCTTGTATTTCACCCAGGTCTGAAAACACACACACACACACACACACACACACACACAGTTTTTAACTTAAAAACTGGGCTAGGCAAGGTGGGGCACACCTGTAATCCTAATACCCTAACACTTCGGGAGGCCGAGGGAGGAGGATTGCTCAAGGCCAAGAATTCAAGACCAGCTTGGACAATATAGCAAGATCCTGTCTCTACAAAAAATTATAAAAATTAGCTGGGTGTGGTGGCACGCACCTGTAGTCCCAGCTACTTGGGAGGCTGAGGCAGGAGGATCACTTGAGCCCCAGGAGTTGGAGGTTGCAGTGAACTATGATGATGCCACTGCATTCTGGCCCAAGTAATAGAGCTAGACCATGTCTCAAAAAAATAAAACAATAAAAAGATAAAAACTGATTTACAGACTGTATAGTCTCTTGAGATATGCAAACAGTAGAAAATTAAAACCACATAACAAAAAAGGACCTTACAGATAAGAGAACTAGAGAAAGGATGCATCCCTCAAATCTGATTACTCCAAAAATGCCAGAGCTAGCACTAGAACCCAGATAATCAAGGTAGAATAACGGAAAACTGGGATAATAGAATAATTTCTGGTAATAGAAGGCTAACTCCCTACAAGCTGCCAAACTTTACTGAAAAGTTTATTTTTAAAAAAGTCATTGATCCTGCCTTACAAAAAAGCAGTATCTCATAGACATAGGCAAGTTTTGATGATAGAGGAAGTTGCCTGGGGTCAGGGTAACCACTCTGAATTTGCCCTAAAAGTTGGAGATGACAAAAGGTGCTCCTCTAAAGTTGCTTGACCCAGAATATTTCTATGAGTCCTTTGCTATTTCCTCATTTCATGTCCCCAGGTGTCTTTGTATAACCTCGTTGCTACATCTTGGTTCCCCAGTCACCATCTTGTTACTCTGCCCAACTTTCTTTCTTTCATTCACATCAAAGACCCAGGGTTTGGCTTTTATAGTAGCCTGGACAATTCTTTGACAAAAGCACCCACCCTTGGATTTCTTAGAGTCAAGATACTCCCTTACAGCACTTTATTCAACATCCCTGGATTATTAGGCCTTGAAAGTGTTGGAAGATCTCAACTGACCACCTTAAAAATCAGTCAATCAACATAGCATCCGCTAGAAGACTATAGTTTGCTGGGTACCAATCAACTGAGATTTTGCCATATAAAATTATTTCACCATTTCAGACAACCTAATTTGGAGAAAATGTGCACAAAGTATTCTAACTCTGTTCTGATCTCCAGACCAAATCCATTTTAGCTACTTCTTCAAAAAAATGAATCTATGCTAACTATTGTCTATGCCACATTTTAATGAGAAGTCATAAGAAACAAACTGGAGTTTCATAATCATTTTTCTTGATAACATTTTGAAACTGAAAAAGGCACAGAGTCACATATTCATTGAATGCGAAGCCTGGTAGGGAAGGGCAAGAGACACTGTTCTTCTGTCCTTTTTAAAAAACATATGTTAACACTTACTGATAAAGTTTTTCTGTATGGCTTAAAAAAAAAAACTATACATTGGAATCATAGAGGTACTGCTATAAAACCATGAGGAGCGAAAAGGGGAAAGAATAGCTAAACCAGCAAGCCTGTAGGCAATGATTATGGACTCCATGCCAGGAAGAGACAAGTCTAACAAGAAATGGGGTGACTTAGAGGAGATAGCCTTAGAACTTAGAAACAGCTTTATCTCCACTGCATTGTGCTGCCAAGAGCCATTTCTAAAGATCGGGATTTTTTTCCTTCTAAATTCCATTATGAAGCCCCTAAGTAGTAATTTTTAAATATCAGCATCTTAAGTTTTCAAAGATGACCATCTAATTATCTTTCTAAGTTTTCTCCCAAAAGTAAAAGAAAATGCTTAGGTTATTATCATGAATGAGAAATGCCATAGTCAAGGAAATACCATTCTTTTCAATAATAATAATTTAGTGATCAAGATAGACAGGTGGTCTAATCATGTATTCTGCCAGTAACACTCATTTTCACATGGTGTTAACATACTGTTAAATACTCTTAACGGTTATAGCATATGTGTAGGGGGGTATGGAGTAATAAGGGGGATATAAAAATATATAAATATTCCCATCCATCCAAGGAAAGGAGATAGAATTAAGACACAATCTTGCATGCAATGTGTTTGAAAAATGGGTAGGATCAATGGTATACGACATAGACAGTGTTTTAGTTCAACTACATTACAAAGTAAATATAATTCATGGTCTAGCCTGAAAACCTAACTAACACTTATTAAATTGGTTATAACTTTGAAATAATAAATCGCAAAGCCAACATTTGAAATACAACCTGTTCCTTAGCTGGGGACTGCCTTATCAGCTACATCAAATCTAATTTAGTCTAACTTCTCACCATGGTAACAAGCCCTTTGCAGAAATAGTCAAAGACATTTCATATCTAGAAAATTTGCCTTGTACTTCTTCACCACACATAATGTCAAGAAAAGCATCCTTCAAAGGTACTATGTAATTAGAATGGCCTTTAAAACAGGCACAAAGGAAATCATTCCTATTAAAACTAAGTCTACTTCATAACAATCTTCAAACTGAGTGAACAGCAACAGAGAAAAGAATCCTGAGGTGTTTTGGACCCCACAGTCTATTTTTTTAAAGTCTGTTATCTGTAACATTGCGTCAGAAAGGATTAAAGTGTCTCTCATTTGGTTTATATTGGCTATTTCTTCACGATTAAAAGAAAGTGTGCATGTGAGAAACCACATCTGGCTCAGGGATTAGACTGGGTTCTGTCCTGGCTTTTACATGAAAACACTATGCCAGAGCCCAAGCTCAAATGAGGCTGAGGATGGAGCCCAACATAATGAAGACTATAGCATAGTAGCCACTTCTGGGTCACTGCAGCATGGACACTCAAGACCTGAGCTTTAATTCTGTCTGTGTTCTAGGAATTCTAGTTGTCTTTGGGGATACATTTCGAAATTTAATTTGAAGTCCTGCATCTGTAAAATCTTTCTTGTTATTCTGACTAAGACAGTTTTCACATGCCTGCTTTTTATTAGGAAGCCCTTTTTTTTTTTAAAGGAACTTACATCAACAACACTATTCTGTGTTCACCCAAGAAAATAAACGAAAGCATTTAAATTAAACTAATCTATTTTTTTGGCTTCTTGTGACCATATTTCCATAATGCCTACCATACAGATTCCAGTACATCCGGAAGGATTGTAGCACTAAACCTTCAGGGCAAACTTGCCCCCGGTATCCAACAAGGAGAACATCTTGAGAGAAAACTAAAGCGCTAAGGGAACAGAGAAGCCCTGAAAAAGCTATTGTACGAACTTAACTGTCAGCTCTTAAATGTGACTTGAATAACATACCATCAAACTTCTTGTACCGAGAAGCAAAGACAGCTTGCAATTGATTGCACTGTTCACCGACCACACTTTTGAAATCCTCTTTACTTTGCAGGCTGTACTTTTCCTCCATCACTTGAGAGCAGCAGGTATAACCCTGGGGACAGATCTTCAAATGGTCACCTGGAAGATAAAAAGTAGAATGGTCAATCTCTATTATCATTCATCAAGTCCAAGAGGGTAGTGTTTGATTTAGGTGCACACACTCTGCTTCATTTCAGTCTTCCGAGGCTCCGCAAAAGGCCCAGGTATCATGTGTATCTAACAAGTTTCTTGAAGCCAAAACAAAATTGTATTCCCTTCTTGAAAAAATAAAATAATAAAGTCTCCTCCAAGAGGCAAAATAACTTTCTAATCAAGGAGATGGATAAACCACAGGAAAATTGGTGGGACCAACAAATGAAGTAGCATTCAGGATCAAGTAGTGTCTTTTATAAATTCCCTCAGATACTATGCTAAATACTGTACAAGTCATGCGAACGAGACATACTTTTTCCAGATTAGGGAGTTTATGTTCCAAGAGAGACTATCCTTAATAAAGAATGATTTATAAAACATGTGCCAACAACCAAAAACTGGAGCAAATATATGTGCGATAGTTACACTGTGGGGAAGCAAAGGATTCCTGCATTTCAAGGGGTTGTCAGCAAAGAGGGGAACTATGGGAGTTCATGCTGGATAACCTGAGTCTATGATAAATCATAAAGAGGTGATGGTAAACAATCCTCGATTTCTATCCCGTTGTCTTCTGTGCAGATGTCAGAGACTATATCTACCTTATGATGCTGTATGGTGTAGCCACTCATGCCAGCACAGACTAACAGTTTCAGATGAATGTCATCTTTATATAGTGATGCAGCCCTAAGAATCAAGGGAAATTTCAAAGACACACCACTCTACAGCAGCCCAAGCCACAAAGTATCTCCCTCCCTGACAGTAACTGCATTCTGCTTGTAGTTTACAGGTGAGGGTTTAGCAGGGTTCTTTCTATAAGCCCTACAGTTCCCCCATCTTGTTCTTCCTCTGTCACAAAACAAAAATTGTGCTTTGAAGAGACAATTCCCCTTCCCTCATAATGACCAAGAGATGTGGTACCACTCAAAAATAAACCCCACTAGGTACTAACACTTTAGTTGCTCCGATATTTGTATGGTATAATTTTCTATACATGTTTACAAGGATTGCACTGTTCTGCTATTGTTGTTCATGTTCCATGTAAAACAAAAGGGGGCTGAAAAGAATCAAGATCCCAGGAACTCAGGAATGAATATGTTGAAGACATGAATCTGTCAATGGTGAGTGTGTCCAACAGACAAAGTGCTGGGGAGTGAAAGGCAAATCTTTCTAACCACACTCATCATGGGTAAAGAAATAGGCCATGAGCTGGCCATTGACAGGAAATAGGCCTTTACCTAACACAGACACCAAGGTAGCTTTGGGGTAAGGCAGTAGTTCAGATGCAACTGAGTTGGCAATTTATTTGATTGACTTATTTGACTAACACTAGGTTGTCAACTGCACATATGCAAATAATTACATAATCATATATGTTCTCGATCATCCTTGTTTCCTGGCAATTAAAAAGTAGGGAGTGTTATTACCAGGAAAAGGGGGCTATGCATGATTAAAAGACCATGTAAGGAGGGGAGAAAGGGTAACAATCCTGAAATAACTTCCTCATCCAGAAACTGCTAAGTTTCCTTAGACATATCTGAAAGCCTTGGTCAACAGGTAATTTCTACCAACAGAAAAAAAAGAGATAAAAAAGATTGTGTAGTAGAATTAGAGCTGTGAAACTGCAGAATATCTTAGATCTCATTAGTGAAAAAGAAGGGTCGCTAAGGCTCAGTTTTATGGAAACACCTTTGTTACAACCAAAAAAAAAAAAAAAAAAAACTCCCTCTTCACTGGCTTAACAAGTTCACAGCAGGCCTTTGGTACTGGGACATATAATTAACAGACAGAGATTCAGTTGTCTCCTGGTTTCAGGGTTGAGGGTTTCCTCCATTGTGGTCTTTTTTTTTTTTTTTTTTTTTGAGAGAGTCTCACTCTCTTGCCTGGGGCGAGTGCCGTGGTGTCAGCCTAGCTCACAGCAACCTCAAACTCCTGGGCTCAAGCGATCCTCCTGCCTCAGCCTCCCGAGTAGCTGGGACCACAGGCACGCGCCACCATGCCCGGCTAATTTTTTTTCTACCTATATTTTTAGCTGTGCAATTAATTTCTTTCCAGTTTTTGGTAGAGACGGGGTCTCGCCCTTGCTCAGGCTGGTCTCGAACTCCTGAGCTCAGAACAATCCGCCCGCCTCAGCCTCCCAGAGTGCTAGGATTACAGGCGTGAGCCACCGCGCCCGGCCTCCATTGTGGTCTTAACACACAATATGAAGGACCCCAAATAGTATAGTGCTATAGCTCTATTAAATAATACACATCACACTCGCGCCCGCTATAGAAAATGAATTGGAATGTTCAGAATGAGAACACATAAGGCTATTTAAGTGAACTGCTTCACAATAAGGGAGCTGATATTTTTAAAAGTTTGTCACAGGCTAAAAATTCATCATAGGATAGGCTGTTTTTCAAGTCCCTGCAAAGATTCCATTGTGGTATGCATGAATTTCCAAGGCAACACAATTCATGAGTTTGGAAAATAACTTATGTTCACCTAATCTTTACAGGGTTCATATATTATTAATAAAGGGTCACTTACTGGATCCTATCAAAATGGGCATCTAAGTTCAAGGAAAAGCACCCTTTTCCCCCACCCCCAGTGCACGTGCACTCACACACACACACACACACACACACCCTGAAGCGAGAAAATACTAAGAGACAGCAGGAAAGAATAATTTTCTCCATTGAAGAAGGTGCTAGACTTTGAGAGGTTTAAATTTACCCACAGGAAATTTACAATAAGCAAGGATACACTCTTCAAAAATGTGTAGCAGCAATAAAAGTTTTACTGGCAACCTGCTGAAAGCAGACAGCACCACTTACACTGGCACACATAAAAGGCCCAGCACAGCCCATGCACGCCAGTCATCTCACATCCACCAGGGGCCCTCAGCAGGACCTATGGAGACCTGCTTATACTTGAACACCGGAGTACATCTTTGTTTTGGCGATATCTAATAAAAAACAAATATTGCACTTTCATCTTAGACAGGAGATCTTTCCAGGAAGACTTTTCTGATGGTGAAAGGCTTGCCTTGTGTCAAGGGTGACAACAGGAGAGACACCTGGCTAATGTTTCTGCTGGCAAAGTCCCCACTCCAACATGCTACTACTTTTGGCCATATAGTCCTGAATGCACCACTTATCCTGTTTGCATTTCTTAAAAGCATTACTTGAAAATGTAATTTGACGTTCTTGTGAAAAGCCCCGAGACACATGCAGTCCAAGACACATTTGTGAATTAAACCCCAAGACATACTTGGGCTACTGGGGATTCAGTGCCATAACCAGTTAGTGCTGAGAAGTACAGGGAGGAAAAAGAGGACAATCTTGGCGTATGTGAAAATGGAATTATAGCTCCACGTTCTGGTAAGAATCTCTGCAAATTCAAGCAACTCATTTGGTTTTTTTTCAAAAAATTTGAATAATTCTACTTTAAGTACCAAAAATGGTTCTTTTGAAAGACAGGGCATATATATTATTTGAAAGCCATTCTGTTTTATGTGTTTGAGGCTGTTTCCAAAATGCTGTGCCTGAATGAGAAATGCCTTTTCTTTCTGGAGATCTCCTTTCTAAACCTGGTGATCCTATATACATCTCATTTAAGAAAGTTGCCACAATTTTTCCTTTAGGCTGAGAGCTGAACACAGGGACAACTGAATCGATATGGGACAGGTAGACAACAACTGTGGGGGTAGCATTGGATATGTGTACTTTTTAAAAAGGGCCCTAGGTGATTCTGATACATACCCTTCATTAGGAATTATTGCTAGAAAGTCTTCAGGATTCCAGCTGCAGAAGATTTGGGATTAGCAGTTGACCAGTTAATCCACTAGCTCAGTGAAGAGTATGTTATGATCTATAAACTGTCATTTGTCTCCTGTTTCCCTAAATCAATCTCCTGCTTTTGTGACCCTTGACATATATAGCTTCTCCACTTATCTTTTCTAGTCCCTTAAAACTCTCCTCTGTCTGCTTTCCACTCTCTTTTTACTCTGCCCATATAGTTCTTTCTTACCCCACCCCACCTCTTTAACTGCACATAACATGAAACTGAAGGGTTTTTTTATTTGTTGTACTTGTTGAGAGTTCTTTGTTCTTAATTTAAAAAGCAGGTGAATTGAATGCTTTATGGTTTTCTAAGGAAGCACCTAAATTAAGTTGCTTCTTGTACATGGCCCTTGATTAGTTTTTTTCTTTGTGGGTCAGTGGCCCTCAATAGAAAAAAGGTCCCCCGGCCCTGTCCTAGGAGGCTTGGATGGGATTCAATGAAGCGTGCTTTTAAAGCTTAACTCTATGGCATTAAAAACAAAAAAATCACTCGAAAGAGCCAAACTTTTTTTCAATCACACCAGCTCTATGTAATTTCTCTTTAGTCTTAATATCAATGCCTGAGTTTTCAAAGCTGAACAAAGACAATCACAATAAATTACTCTCAATCCTGCCGAGTGTGTATTGGTTCTTTTTTTTTTTTTTTTTTTTTGAAGCACTTCAAATCAATGGTTAAAGAAGTAGGCATTGAATATGGGGAATCTATTCCATCATTTAACAACGCTCTGGGGTGAACAATCTGTAGAACTGTGCTTTCTCACTTTATCTCATTTACTCTTCTTACCAAATGCTGACTCTGATGTACAAACGGGAGTACGGCTAATATTCGTTTATTTTCAGTTGCTCAGAACTCAGCTTCCCATAGAAAATGTTATAAACGGTAGTTAGGTTCTCGGGCCAGCGCTCAGCTTCCTACTAACTTGACTATTTTCAACTATATCTAACAACCATTTCCTACATCTGTCTCAAAAAATTCATTTTGAAATCCAACTAGATGCCAAGAAAATGTCTCTCTGATTCTTACAATTTTGGGGGAGTGCGGTGTCATAGAGGAATATTTGTAGTTACCAATAAGGTGTTAGCTTTCTTTCTGTACCTGCAGGAGACAAAGTAAACCTCTAG